TTTTAAAAATTCTCCATTTGGATTTGATGGCAAGGTGCACATGGAAGCAATTTGGTCCATCACTTGAAAAATTCCCTTCACTAGAGATGGATGAGTGACTTGGTTCATCGCACAGTGTCCCTAAAAGTTAGGGCTGTTACTAGGGTGACACCAGTTTGCCTCATGAGAAAAACCCAAGGGAGTGCTAAAGAACTGAGTCGTTGAGGCCACTGATAGGTTAGTGCAATATAGCTTTTAAAATAATGCAAAAAACACGATCATGGGGATCAGCTTCATGATACTGGATTTGGCAAATATTTCTTGAGTATGACACCAAAACCACAGGCAACAACAACAACAAATAGATAAATTGGACTACATAAAAATGGAAAACCTCTGTGCATTCTAGTATCAAACCAGGGTGAAAAGGCGACCCACCAAATGGAAGAGAGTATTTGTAACTCATATATCTGATAAGGGGTTAATATCTAGAATATGTAAATAACTCTTACACTCAACAACAAAAAACAAACAACCCTGTTAAAAGAATGGGCAAAGGACTTGAGTAGATATTTCCCCCAAAATGATATACAAATGACCAGTAAGCACATGGAAAGATGCTCAGCCTGCTAATAATCAGAGAAATGCAAATCAAAACTACAATGAGATACCACTTCACCACCATTAGGAGGCTATTATACCAAGCTAACCAAACCAAACCAGGAAATAACAAGTGTTGCAAGGATGTGGAGAAATTAGAACCCTTGCACACTCCTGGTGGAAATGTAAAATGGTACAGCTGCCATGGAAAACAACAGGGCAGTTCCTCAAAAAATTAAACATGGAATTACCATATGACCTGGCAATCCAACTTCTAGATATCTACCCAAAGGACTGAAAGCAGGGACTGAAATAGATATTTGTATAACCACGTTCACAGAAGCATTTTTCACAATAGCCAGCAGCTGGAACAAATCCTAGAATCATCCAGAGGTGAATGGGTAAATAGTGTAGTATGTACATACAATGGGATATTATTCAGCCTAAAAAAGGAAGGAAATTCTGACACTTGCTACAACATGGATCAACCTTGAGGACATTATACGAAGTGAAATATGCCAGTCATAAAAAGACAAACGCTGTGTGATACCACTTATATAAGGTATCTAAAATAATCAAACTCACAGAAACAGAAAGTAGAATGGTGGTTGACAGGGACTGGGGGAAGGGGAACATGGGAAATAGATGTTTAATGGGTACAGAGTTTCAGTTTAGGAAGATAAAAAAAAGTTCTGGAGATTATTTGGACGATCATGTGAATATATATCTAAAAGTGATCAAGATGGTAAAGGTTGCGTTATGCATGCATTACCACAATTTTTAAGACAATTAAAAACTCCATGATAAATAAAATATCAAAAAGGCAGGATGGGGATAACTTTTTAAGAAATTCGGTTGTGTGGTTAAGAGATCAAATGAACATACACTTTTTCTTGCTGTTTTTCTGCAAATTGGTGAATGGGTCCCAGCGCCTTTGGAATGATTCCCCACTCTTTGCGCTTTAACTAAGAACCAACATGCTTGGCATTTGCAAGCAACTCTTCCATTTTTAAAACCTCCATTTCTTCTGCATGTGAGTACAGGGCGAGCTGCGAGCACCAAGGGCCATCTAATGATTCATCAATAATTATCAATCTTGTGAGGGACAAAAACGCCCACATATGTTGATCTATAATTTAAGTGCTCTGCTTATTATTCAAATACTAATCCTTACAATATTAAATGGTATGGTTTAGTCTCAGTGACCTTCAATCAGCTCATTTAAAAACATCAGTACACTGCTTCAACATGGCACTTAAGTGTCCTCACTTAAATTTACTGACGGAGAAACAGGACCGAGCACACTTAGGGGAAGTGGTTCTGCTAATCAGAGGACAGGAAAGAGCAGGGACTCCTCCTGGTTTTCAGAGCTGGGCTCTAGGGTCCCAGCCATGGTGTCTAGTAAAGATTACCCAAGGATTCAGAAATCGTTTATAGGTTTCCAATTCTCACTCGCACTCCCTGTTACGCAGTTCCACTGGCGGCAACTGAAACCACGGCGAAGCAAGTGAGATTACCACTTGGCATTTAGTTCACGCAGCTCAAAATAACTTTGAGCAATGAAGTCGGGTAAGCCCCAAGAGTCAGAGAGTGATGCGATGAATGTGCTCATACCTTCTTTTTGCAAAGCTCAAAGAACAGTTTTAATTATGTCTTATGTTATTTCTTTCCTTTGTTTAATAGCAGATTTTTTTTTTAAATTCCCTAATTGATTTAACTTTCTGTTTATGGTTAAACACAGATATTGACATATATAGGCAGGGCCTGTAGGAATACAAAATGGAAGCAATGCCCTGAATGCTGCTCCAGCAGGTAATTCAGCATTTTAGGATTAGCCAAGAGATTTATCAAGCAGCCTCCGAGGGAAGCAGAGTTCAAGTCTGGGCTCATCAATAATACATAAATAAACTGAACAATTAGGTACACCGTGGCTATCTTGTCAGGCGACTTATTAGCCGATAAATGATACACTCACTCGCTGCCTTGAGTACAGAAAGAGAAGATGTATGAAGACAGAAAAAGGGCTTAATGAAAAGGAGAGAAGCAGTGAGCACTGCCTAACCTGCCCACAGCCTGGGGCTTCCTTCCCATGTCATCCTGCTGGGAAGCAAGGCCTGGCATACACACCTTGAGCTGATCCCGCGGTCTCACAGTAACAGCCTGCTTGGGCCTCTACTGCAACTGTGATGCCTAAAGGAAGATGTGAAGGAGGGAGGGCAAAGCTGCCAAACTGGGAGGAAGACATTTCTTTCTTCATAGGCCCAGCAGACTTTTATATATATATATATATATGATAGAAATAATCAAATTGTTTCTCTAGCAGAGATCAACACACAAAGCCTTAGACAATAAACTCTTTTAGCTAAGCTTAGTACATGGTGCAATAAAGAGCCCTTCGCAGCATAAACCCACATCACCTGAGACCAAATGGGTACTGAGATGCAGGGGATCCATGAGATTAAGGGGAGCATCCTTTGTGCAATGATGTGCCCAATATTTGGTATACAGTTGAACCTGGAACAATGCACAGTTGGGGCACCAACCCCCACAGTCAAAAACCACGTGTGACTTCTGACGGTCCCCAAACTTTTCTGCAGTCACCCCTCAGTATCCTCGGGGAATTGGCTCCAGGATCTGCGTGGATACCCAAATCTGTGGATGCTAAAGTTCCTATGTAAGATGGTGTAGATGAATGCATACAGTTGGCCGTCCGTACCCACAGATTTCCAACCATGAATGGAAAATATTGCTTTAGATCCAGGGTTACTGAGTCTGAGGATGTAAAACCCAGGATGCAGCAGGCTGACTGAATAGGTATTGAAAAAAAATGTGCATATAAGAGGACCCACACAGTTCAAGGGTCAACTGGGTATATATATATTAGCAGCTTTACATATTTTGCTTCTAGTGTTTTGTTCCCATTAACTATGAGCTAAATGTCTGCCTGAGTAATTGTTTCTCCTTTGGTGTTAACAAAAGAACATATGTTATTTCACTTGCATCTCATTAAGCTCTTCAAATATTAGAGTTGTAGGAGTCTTGGTATTTCTACAGAAAAAAAGCAGGTGTACTCCCATTAGCTGCATTTGACAGTGTTGGTTATTAATATAAACTAGTTTCAAATGGAATGTTTTATGACCATTCAGTCTTTTTAACTCAGAAGGGTCTGTGATGGCTGGCAATTCCTAACCAAAGCCCCCACTCAGGACATCATCTCCATCGATTCCAGCCAAGAAGAGGGTTGGCCCACAGGAGCCCTATCCACACTGCATGATGCAGACCTGAGGCCAGACACAGGCCCATCCAATCAGATTCGCCCCAGACGAACAGTCCTCAGAGCTGAGTTAGCAATGGCACTGGTGGGGTGGCAAGGCCGGGGAGGGGGAAAGCGGGGGGATGTGGGGTACCAGTGCCCATGGTTCTAACTTAACCAGCCCTCACGCAATGCCTGTGTTCCACTGTCCCAGGCCCTTTCAGTTATTACCTCTTTTAATAATTATCTCCATTTTTCAGACAGGAAAACTGAGGCAGAGTAGGTAAGAACTGGCCCAAGATCATACAGGTAGCAAGCTGAAGAGCTGGGATATGGACTCAGATAGGGTTTGGCTCTAGAAACCATGCTTCTCACCATGCTGTGGTGGGCTCCAGTTTCTGTTGTCCTTACCAGACTTGACTTTTTAATTCCTGAATTCCATGCAGTGCTCCAGTATCCTATAAAAGTTTTGTTTTTGCTTAAACTAGCCAGAGTTGATTTCTATCACTTGTAATGAAAAGAAACTTAACAGAGGAGAAAGCACTCCTCTCCTTCCTCACTGCCATTTCCTCTATAAGCCCTGTTTGAATGACATCTCCATCAGTTTCCCATCAATGCCACAGCTGTGCAATGCAGAAGTAATGCCGGCCAGCAGAGGTGGGGTGGGGGCGGGACAGAGAGCCCTTCATAACGTCCCAGCACATGCAGGCTTGCGTGCACGTGCTGTCAACTGCGTCAACTGCTAAAGCTGTGACCTTTAGAGTTTCCTTGACAAAGCCTGTGATGGGGCTGAGTAAGGCTGGCCCCACTGCTGGGGTGTCTGGGGCATCCCCCCATCCTTAGCCCATCCCCTCTGAAGTGTGGACCGCTAGTAAGCTAAATGTATCCCTTGGCAATAACCTTTAGAGCAAAAGGTACATTTTCCTCTTAGGTCCTCAAGGATAATTCCTTTGTCCAGAGGTTTTTGTTTTGTGTTTTTGTTAATCCTCACCTGAGGATATTTTTTCATTTATTTTTAGGGGGAGTGGAAGAGAGAGGGAAAGACCGAGAGAAACATCGATTGGTTGCCTCCTGCATGAGCCCTGACCCAGGACCTGGACCAGGGAGGAGCCTGCAACCAAGGTACATACCCTTGACTGGAATCGAAGCCAGAACACTTTGACAACAGTGTTTTAAGTTCCTACAAACCAAGGTAAGGCATAATTGAGTAAACAATCATTTCTTTTTAAGTTTCTTCATAATGTTTAATTTTGTAGGTCTTATTTTATAGGCATTAAATTGGTAATTTTTACTAAACAAAATATGTTCTGTTGATTTCACTTCGTATAAATTGTATTCAGAAAACAGTAGTGTTCTTGCTGAGATTTATGTGTCTATCCTTATAGGCAGAAACAGCCCGAGAAAGCAAACAGAATCCAATGATACAAAGAAATAGTTCATTTGCTTCATCACACGAAGTATGGAAATATATCTGTGAATTGGGGATCAGTAAGGTCAGCACTCAGTTTCTAATTTTAATCTTATTTTTAAAAACTTATTTATCATAGTGGTATAGTTTACAGTATATGCCAAACATATTTGATCCATACCCTTTTTTCAGGTGATAACCTGTGAATATTCTGCAGAACCCACTTTGAGAAAGTACTGTCCTGAGCCTGTTAGGCAAAGTTGGTCATTGCCATTGGCATTGTCGGAACTGTGTGTATTTGGGCTTGGGAGGTAGTGCAGCAGAGTGGAGCCTGGTAGTACACTTCACTTTCAGAAGTTTGTTCTGACTTTCTCAGGCACATTTCAATATATGTGCCAAACAGTCATCACATCAGCTGTCATTTATTGGTATTTTCCTTCTTATGAGATATATGGTGGGATCGGCATATTTTTTGAAGACCTTTACATAAGGTACTATACATAAGGAAACTGTGCTGAATGCTTTTCATGATCAAAGAAGAAATTCAAGTGAACATTTGGACAAGTCATTTTTCATTTCCCAGATTTTTCACTTATAAAAAAAACTAGTGATTTTGACTAAAGACTGTTCTATATCTAAAGTACTTTCTGCTCAAGCATTTTATAAATCTCCATCCAGTTCTTGCCAAACTTGACTTTATAAGACTTCTAGGTTATACATTAAAAAGCAAAGATATCAAACTCAGTTTGAGGTAAGATTTCTGTCCCTAGCATTTGAGTGGTTTGTGTTAACTTGAATCATTGTTCAGCCTCTTTGTGTTTTTGATGACTTGTTTTTTAACTCCCTCCAAAAGAATGTGTCTTTGTCCTTTTTGTTTCCTTTTTAATATATCCCCTTTACAGGTAGAGTTGTCCATGGAGGACATTGAAACCATCTTGAATACACTCATATATGATGGGAAAGTGGAGATGACTATCATCGCTGCAAAGGAAGGCACAGTTGGCAGTGTAGACGGACACATGAAACTGTACAGAGCAGTCAATCCAATCATCCCACCTACGGGCTTGGTCCGGACCCCCTGTGGACTCTGCCCGGTGAGTTCAAGAGGCTTCACCTTACACTTGACTACCTCCAAGTGCAAATGCCACATAACGTACCAGCAAGCACACCCCAGTTCTCTGACTCTCAGGGTTGACCAAGAATTACTCAAACCTCCATGTAATCTTGATATTTAATGAACAAATCATTGCCTTAAATAAGTGATCTGTGTTTTCTGCTCTTAGCCCTAAAATAGACAGTTTTTTGGGGTTTTTTTTTAAATATTTTATTGATTTTTTACAGAGAGGAAGTGAGAGAGATAGAAAGCTAGAAACATCGATGAGAGAGAAACATCGATCAGCCGCCTCCTGCACATCTCCCACTGGGGACGTGCCCGCAACCCAGGTACCTGCCCCTGACCGGAATTGAACCTGGGACCTTTCAGTCCGCAGGCCGACGCTCTATCCACTGAGCCAAACCAGTTTCGGCTGTTTTGTTTTTAATGTAACTTTATCGTGCACTTACAGAATTGACCATTTTTCTAAGTGCTTTACCTGCATTACTTCTGTTAAGCCCCACGAGAATCAAATGAGATTTGACTGATGAGGAAAACGGAGGCAGAAAGGATGTGCAGTTAGGATCACACTCAGGCAGCTGGTCCCAGAGCCGACATGGTCACACTGTTGACTGTGTGAGAAGGCGCAACCCCAATGGCCCATACCACGGTGGGTAAAGACAGCTAGGGAAACATGCTGACAAACATAAATTGTGATGCTGATGAAACCGGTTGATAATCATGCCATCCAAATTATCCCATTTAATGAAGCTGAAGAGAATTGCTCGTTTAGGATACAATTAACAAGAAAATTAAGCATTGGCCTTCAAGCTAGGAAAGAGAGGGAATCACGTGCTTCTTCCAGCATCAGAGGAAGTCTGACTTTCCAAGTGACAGTACTAAGTCAGGAAAACCCACACTGTCTATGCAAACCCAAATGTATAGTAGATTAATCAGAAGGAAAAACGACAAGACCTGCTGGGGGTTGTTACTGGGGATATCATACCCTGATCGCTTCTCGGGACCTCATCAATTCTGTCCTCAGCATCTTGGGGGCACCCTCAATGTCTAGTTAAAAAGTGTCTTTTCTCCAACTGGCTTTTATTCTCCACAGTAATAATCGAAAACACAAGTGCGATTTGTGACTTAAATTGTTCCAGAGAAACATGCTAGACAATACTCAGACTTGCTCCGAATTTCCTTGTTTGGGGAGAGAGTTTTATCTCCAGCAAGGAATTCATCCTCAAAAACCTCCGCGAACACACTGATGTTACAAACACACACTAGTAGAGAAAGTGCATCTTGGGGTCGTGAGGAGGGTTAATGCTCTTTCTGACTGCAATCAATGGGAGCAGCACGCTGTACAGAATCTCTCCTCGCTGTCAAAGCCGCCCCGGCATATCGACGCCTGGATCTCGGCGCTGGCTGGGCTGCTGGCAGGATGGAGACGCTGCAGTCCTCGTTACACTAGTTGTACCTGGCAGGCCGTGCTGTGTCTGTGCAAAGATAAAATGAGAAGTCCCTGGGCAACCGCAGGCTATCTGTCCGTGCTACACGTGCTGCTGCCTGTAGCTGTAGTTACGTAAAAACAGTTGTTTTCTGAAATGGAATGAAAGCCGGGCGAAGGGTGGCAGGCAGAGGCTGCCCCTGAGAAAGGAGCTCAAACACAGGGGCCCAAGACTACAAGAATTCCGATGGGTGAGTTGCTTAGTGGTGGACTGACAGCCAGGAGGCAGCCACATCATATTTTTCTTTATGTTTTGGTCATTGTACCTGAATGTTTGCTACAGGTAGAAATACATCAGTGATTTCAAAAATGGAAATACCATAATATTGTACAGATTTTTTCACTCTTATCTTGGCACAGAATGTCTGTTTCAGCGGTATACAAACTATTCATATCCAGGTAGTTCAGAATGGATTTTTGCTTTTAAAAATCACATCAGTTTTTGCTTTGGGAGGCAAACTCCTTGCTTCGCCTGCATTATACTCTGTCATCTTCTGAATTTATTGTAAGAATTGTTAGCATCAGCCTTCTATAGAGGATAGTGGTCACTTCCTCTCATGAAATAAAACAAGCACATCCCAATCAATCACCTTATTGAAGCTACAAGAGACTCTTGACTAAGCAAAACTTCATTTTTAGAATTAAGCATTACACAACTTTTTTTCTTTTTTAAAAGTATGGTTTTCATACATCATATTAGTTTCAGGTGTACACGCAGTGACTCAACATGTATATTCCTTAAGAAATGGTTATCATGATAAGTGAAGTAACCATCTGTCATCATACATGGTTATTATGACATTACTGACTATATTGCCTACACTATCCTAAGAGTATTTTATTACTCAATTATTGATTTCAAAGAGGGAGAGGGAGAGAGAGATAGATAAATCAATGATGAGAGAGAATAATTGATTGGCTGCCTCCTACATGCCCCTTACTGGGGTGTGAGCCTGCAACCTGGGCATGTGCCCTGACAAGGAATCAAACCATGACCTCCTGGTTTATAGATCAAAGTTCAACCACTAAGCCACACTGGCCGGGCTATTACTCAACTTTTTAAAGTCAACTAAATAGAATTCTCATCACTGTTAAATTAGTTCAGTGTTTTTGTTTGTTTGTTGTTGTTTTTACCTCATTTCTCTTCTTTATCTACAAATTTAAATTTGAAGATGAAGGTGATAAAAATATAAAGAAATTACCTTTCTTGATCTCTGACTGTATTCATTTTATTTAAATTTGTTGTTGAATATGGAATATATGTTCATTATGTAAGACCCCAACAATGGAAGTTAGAATGGGCTCTCCCCACAAACCCAAGTTCAAAGAGCGTGGGAACAGGGAGAGTAGGAGCCCTGACAAGGGGTCATTGTCAGGAAAGGCTCAGGGGTCACTGGGCTCAGGGAGAGCCCGGCACCCTGTTCTGTAGGCGGGTGGAGACCTGGGGGTGCAACCAACACAGACAGCAGGGACTCAGCTGGCAGTCTGGAACCTAAACCAGGAAGAATCACCAATTTTGTTTCAGGGGTTGACAGAAAAGCGAAGGACTTTCTAGCAAGGAGCACTGCAAAATTTCTGTACATGAGAGGTCGAAGGTCATTGTCTTGAAGCTACACTTTCCTAGCAAATATACTGTTTTAACCGAGGATAGATTTCATTCAGGGAGATGGAAGTGTGTGGCCAAGGGATACTTATGGCTACAGCCTCTTCAAGGGGCCCACTGACTTTGGTGGGTATTAATGAAGTTCCATCAGGAATGGTGGAAGGAGGAACCTGTCCTGTAAGCACAGGATGTTCCAACGCCCAGGCTAGGAATTTTGGGCCAGATGGGAAATGTCTTTCTTACCCACGGGTGCAAGAACAACAAAGCTTCCCATGGAAAGATAATGAATGCATTGAAGACACGTTGAGGCCAGGGTTTCTTCTGAGAAAATAGTGATAAGACCCAGAGGTAAGACCAAACGGGGTCCTAGGGCTGTCCGAGCATGTCATTTTAGTCATACCATTCAGTGTTCATGCTACTGGATCAGGCTGAGGGCAGGCAGGAAGGGGTAACTAACCTGAGCATATTCTTCTAAATCTAAGATCACGGATTTTACTCTTGAATCACTGATTTTTTGTCTTTTCATATAATTTGCATTCTTAATTTACTTATAACAGTTCTTCTGGGAAACTCTAGAATCTTCTATGTTGACCTAAGGGGAAAAAA